GAAAAAGATCTTACATTAGGTTTCAAAAATATACTATTGACATTCAAGATTGTAGCAGGTAAGAGTTTGTTAAACATGTATTAACATCAGTAGTTACATGTTCAATTCCTGAATCAGGTATTGAAACAATATATTCAGGTTCCATATAGGAGGAAAAAAAAAAAAAAAATAGTTATCAACAGATCCCATATCAACCAAATCATGGCCACAGGATACTTGGCCAAAGCATTGTCTAATATCCGTAATAATCAAAATGAGATCAAATATAAACCATTAAGTTGGCATTTGAGCCGAGGCGTTCACTGCCTAAATTTAGCACCGGAGATGGATTTGAAGCGAGCTATTTCTTAAGTTATAAGTATAATCCAAATACATTTAAGAATAGTATAATTATCTTCCTACAACAGGTAGCCTTTGAAGAAGGGAGTGCCAACATTTGGCATGCAGGGAAAGTTTGCAGCATCACTGGAAAATAATTGCAATCAAATTTTATACATGAAATCATTTTTCAACACAAAACCTCTGGAAAGTAAATGTTTGTATAGGAATAAAATAATGTTGAAATGACAATTTAAATAAAAGCAAACAAAAAATAAACTATTAAATATCAGGATTACTTCAAAATAATTTATTCTGATTTTTATTCTTTTTTTGAGGTTTTTTAATTTTTTTGAAAATACAGTTTTTTCAGTTTTCTTTCAAATGTCCTTTATACAATAGTTTTTTTTTTTTTTTTTTATCTGTACAAGTGTTCTCTTCAAGACACGTACGTACACCTATGTTTACGTACATTTGTGTATCACAAAGGGGGTGGGGATAATCCCTTCTCAGTATGCAACTTGGCCAGCTTGAATATTAGGGGAGGGTCATGAGAATAAGTGGAGTGGGGGAGAATAAATCAAAGTGAATATTTTTTTTCGTGAGTTAACAAAAAATTATGCTGAAAGAATTTTCTTCCCACATGTAATACGCAAAGATGAGGGGGTGCATTATTCATATATATATATATATATATATATATATATATATATATATATATATATATCTCACACTCAACACACAAATCAAATATTAACAATCGGTTTGTCTAATTTCACCTTCCCCTCTTATATAGGAAAAATCATGAGAGAAGGATTATACACAAGACAATCCTAAAGATTTTTTTTTTTTTTTCATTTTTGTAATATTTTAAATAACGTATTTCAGGTTAATGGAGGGAAAACTAGCCAACAATACCATGAGACAATTTATAACGTTAAGAATAAAGACAACATTTCAGGTCATGTTTTTTGGGGATTTTTTTTTTTTTTAGATTTTTACCATTTTTATGGTATGTTTTTTTTTTCTTTAAAAAGTTTTAAGTTGTTGACAAGTTTTATGTTAAAGCTCATTATTTTAATTAGCTTGTCATTAAGTCGTGAGACATTTTTTAGACATTTTTTTTATGACCACATTATTATAGTGTATTAATATTCACAAAGATTAAGAACAAAAAGAAAAATGAAATAAAGATTGTCTGCTTTTTGAACCAAGATAGCTTTCAAAAATACACAAAAAGAGGCCAGAAACAAGTAGTATTACCATTTTTAGGACATGGCTGGAGGAAAACTTTAGTATATTTTTTATTTTAAAGAGGTGCGTTTGTTTTTAGAAAAAAAAAAAAAAAAAAGCCTATAATGATAAAAAGATATGCTTGTGAGTATCTTCAACCCCCTAATGCTTTTAATTCAGATCTAAAAGGTCAAAGTTAGAAACATCATAAAGTCTTAAGTGTAAGAAGATAACGTAAGGCACATATACAATATTTAATCATAAAGGTTAACAGGATTAAAATAAATTGATTTTAGCAGGGAAATTATAAAGTTACAGAATGGAGGTTTTAATCACAATTGCCTGTTCTATTTAAAGAAAAAAATAGTTACCTTTGGTCGTTTTCATAATTAAAAGTAGGCTAACCGATGTTCATAGCACACCTTACTACCACAGAAATAAAAATTGCAACTTTAGAAGTGATAAATATTAAACAGGAATTGAGTTTAGTGCATATCGAGAGTGGTTTTAGAAATTAATGCTTTCAATTTAAGAGATTATATATAATCTCAGAGTAGATAAGGGAGTTGATTTTTCTAAGTTCTAAGTCCACAATAGGGTCAGCTTAGAGGGGAGAGGGGAAAAAAAAAAAAAAAAAATCACTTACGTAAGGTATTTAGATCAACCAAAATATTCGGAACTCGTAGAGGAAGGGAGCGATGAAATCTACACCACAAAAGCAGCGAGAACTTATGAGTCAGTAGTTAACGCTAAAGGGAATACTTCTGTGTGGTTAGAAATGCTATAAATTCATTATTCGCGTCAACAACCGAATATATATATATATATATATATATATATCTCAGCCTGCCCCGACTACAGAGTCTAAAGAAAGAAATAGCCATTGAAACTAGTCTACATTTCACACAATCACAATTTATACGCCTTATTAAACAGGAGACGACAGTAGTAGATATTTAGTTGAATGTTCCATTGCACAAAGACAGTTGCGAAGTAATTACATGCAACCAGTATTTTTTCTTCATCTAATAATGCTTAGTTCTAATCACTACAGAAGTGTGTAGGTGTACACAGGCAGTATGTGCGTTTTTTTTTTAGGGGAGGGGGAATAGAGTATTACAATCACAGTTTTAAAATGGTAACACTAGTACATCTGACCAAGATACGAACAATACAATAACAGAATGCTACGTTGAGAAAAACTGTATACCAGACAGAAAAAAAAAATAACAGTATGTACACGGCATGTCCAATCCATATGTTAAATTTCTAAATTGTAACAATATGGTGAATGACCTGAAGTTAGTCGGTGTAGCATTCTGATTAAACAGAAAGTACAGTACTTCGAGAAAAGATACCTCAGTTAATAACTGACCTATGAATTTTCAAGTTACTTTAAGAACAGGAATAGCACTTGCTTCTATAAGTACGGATTTGGCTGAACAGGTTTCATAATGAAACTATTTTTCATTATTTTGGGTTTAAAATAAAATGAACGAGTTATGTCATCGGCATAGGGGGAAAAAAAAAAAAAGATAGTGACAACAAGCGTAATTCTGAGTTGTGACTTGCCGAGTTTATAGAAGAAAAATGATACCAGTCCAAACCAGATGGAACGAGAATGGCTGATAGCCCGACCATCCCACATAAAGCGAACTTAAAAAGCTGTAAGCTCTCCCACGCGCGCACACACATTTCTCAATTTCAGCATCGTCTGAAATGGTTTGCATCACATCTCAACTGTCAGATAAATAGACCCTTTCTAAGATAGAGAGGGAAAAATTTAGCTTTTTGAAATAAAGTGTATAGTTAGAAATAAGTGTTTTTTTTTTTGTTTTGTTTTTTTTAAGTTTTAGTTTTAAATCACAACACTATCTTGGAAAAAGTAAAAAGAAAGCTTCCCACCCCATATTTAAGTTGCTGGCATTATGTTGTATACATTAATTTTGCAAAATAAAATGATAAAGAAAAAAAAAAGAAAAAGAAAAGGAGAAATACGAGCATTCTCCGTGTTGTAACGAGACTAACCGGACTGTTAGTCATAATGACTGTCATCTCTTGTGGAAATGGCATCTTAACTAACAAATATTTAACAGCGAAACAGAAACTCAACAATTTTTTTTCAATTTAAACAGTAAAACTTTCTGGATTGTTTCTACTGCGTAGAGTCAAAGTATTTCCCCCCTCCCAGGTTTAGTATTTTGGGAGGAAATATGTAGATATATGGTAAATATCTAAGAAAAAAAGAAAAATGAAGAAGAATGTAGGTATCAAATTAAATAAACTTACATCTTAGGTCTCTTCTTGTAAGCTTACAGCTACAATGTATTAAGCTGGGGAAGAACGTTTTTAAAACTTAAGATAGAGCCCCCATTTTTTTTTTTTGTTTTTGTTTGTTTTTTTCAATAACTGAGAGCAAGTGTATAAGAAATAAAAATTCAAAGCCCCTCTAATGAAAAAAAAAAAAAAAAAAAAAAAAATATAAGAGGGGTTGTTCCACTAAACCGTTTCGAAGATAAGTTGAACGGGGACAAACATATGTTCATTGAACACTTAGGGAACCAGAAACCTCTATTTTATAAGTGAGGAAAGAAAAGCTTAGGAAATTGGAAGGTCTGGAAAGGCCGTCAGAAAATTAACTAACACCTTTTCAAATTTACAGTTGCATCAATTGGACATTCAATTCCGGAATTATTTGATGCTTCAGCGCCCGATCTATGTACATTGATAGATAGATAGATGAATCTTGTTTTATAAGGGACTTCAGTTTACGAGCCTTCATGTTTGTTTTTTAAACACCAAGGAGTCGTCATATGGTAGGTAGGGTTAGAATGGGATTTGTAGAGGAAAAATACATTTTTCTTTAATCGATTTAGTATCGAGAAAGGAAAATTTGGAAAACAAAAAGCACGCTCCCAAATTATATCGGGAATTAATAGGTAGGAATTATATATGCATGTTTATGTATATATATATATATATATTTTTTTTTTGTTTTTTTTTTTTTTAATAGTTTTTCTTTTTTGGTTTGTTTGTTTTTTGTTTTTACTCCAATGTTATGCTTAAAACCTTCACCCTATAAAAGGAAAAAAGTTGATGGCCAAAAATATATTTTAAGTTTCATATGTAATGTCTCACTTTAAAGTCTTCAAATGAACTGATAAGAGACAGAAGGTTAGATGGAATAGAGATGTTCATCTTTTATAGAGTAACCATTTTTATTGTTATGTTTTTAAAGGAGGTGGAATATTTACGATTTGTGTTGGACAAGAATCACTATGAAGGAGTGAAATAATCCAGGTTTTAGTTTTATTCTGAATGATTTCTTACCTTCCCTCTATATCTATTGGTGGCGTAATTGTGTGTATCTTCAAATATTTATAGAAGATATTTTGCATTGAAAAGAAATTGACAAAAATGAAAAAAAAAAACAGAAAACAAAACAAAGGTTATGAACACTGTAAATAGGGCTGTGGACACAAAGGACAAGTAGAGTTTCCCATTTGGTAAAAGGGTAGGTAGCTATAATAGTGTCCGTTTCCTGTCGATGTGTTGTACGGTCCGTAGAAAACTTGATCCAGAATCAAATTGTTTAAGTTATCGAACTGGGGTAGCTGTAAATATTTGCTCTGAGCTTTCTGTTCCTGCTCGAGCAAGATCTCATAGGCCAACTGGTGAATCAAGTTAAGAGTCTGTCTACGTTCATGGCCCATAAGGCAGATTGTACTCTCGTCCACGACTTTATAGAGGGTCATCAGGTATTCGTATTTCAAGTCCTCCTCGCCGCTAAAGTGGTTGGCGAGATAAGCATCCAACTTTTGTTTCTGCTGAGATAAATCGCTGAAGTCGATAAAAAATCGTGAACACATGTAACGTTCCATGGCACGAATATCCACATTGCCAGCCGATTTGTACCCTCGGACCAGAAGATTACAGTACTTTAGGAGACCACCACCTCGAATCTCCTCCGGGTTCCGTGTGGCTATTAGCTTTTTGGTCAGGTGGAACCACGCCTGCGAAAAGTCCCCATAGACGCTCTCGGCCCGAACTGAGGGATAGAAGTGTTCGCTGGTTGGGGTGTTGGACACCTCGTAGAAGGTCAGCAGACTATCCAGAATTATTTGGAAAGAATCGACACTGAATTCAAACTGGCGTTTCATTTTATCAACAAATTTAAGCTCCACATTTTTGCCCTTGTTATTAGACAAAGAAATCAAACTCCAGCGGTCACCGTGCTCGTTACAGACCTTAACCATTTTCTGCACGTACGCCTCTTTCAAACTGCTACTGGACATCTTCTCTTTGCTTACCCCAGCTGGAAGAAAGTCTAGCAGACATCCGAGAACGCAGTTCTTAACTTTTTGCAGTTCGTTCTGATTGGATAGATCTACTCCAAATATCAAATCCAGATCGTTGTACGACTGCGCAGTATCCGTTCCCAAGACGTAACTGGCCGCCCCACCATTCAAGCGCATATCACGTATATGGACCTCTTCGGCTTTTAACTTTTGTCTCACCAACTGTACAAGGTCCTTTAATTTGACGTCCAGTGTGGGGAAGTTGCCGCGGCCGTGTATAGGAACGGATGCTTCCATCACCTCGACCAAGCGCATCAGCTGGTCATACTCTAAAACCTTGAAGCGAGAATCTTGATATTCGCCAGAGAATCTTGCTGGGGAATAGGTGATCAAGCTCTTAGTTTCCGTGTCTTCAGTAATGGCCTCATCGTCATCATCATTATCATCAATGTAATTATCGTCGACGAGAGGTGTGTTGAGATCTTCGCTGACCACGCCATCATTGCCGACAATATCGTAACAGTTCTGATTGGCGTCGGACACGAGGCCGACAAAGTGATCAGCACGTTTACCTTCCTGATTGAGAGGAAAGTTCGGCTGTTGGGCTTCTACCGCTTTGATGGGTGTGCTTTCAGCTGGGTAAGGACCCGTTGATGTAGTTTCGCACCCTGTTGCGAGGGGGGGTCTAAAGGACGATGACGAATCAGCAGTAGCGTCGTCCTTCGTTACAGGCTGTGATTGTGGAGTCTTTTCAGAGTTAGCTACTGCTGCCGCGGTATTACTAGTTTGCCTGCTATTACTACAAGCAGTAATAGAACTTGTGTTGGTTGTAGTTGCGGTGATGTTGCTGCCGCTGGTGGTAGTGGTGGTGGGTGCTGCTGCTACTACTGTCACAGAAGTCGAAGACATCAAAACATTACAAGTGGTCGTTTTAAGAACTGTAGTAGCCATGTTGCACGTTTGCCGTTTTTCCTTACTGATGGAAGAGCGTTTTGATGAGAACGGGAAACGGCTTCTGAAAATAAAATTTAACGTCCGATTAGTCTGACATTTCAAATAGGCGATACATGAACAAATAAAATTCTAGGAGTTTCATCATTTCTATTGCTTTTTTTATTTTATTTTTAAAAACAACTCTCAGATTGTTGTTGTTCTACGACCGTTACTGTGCCCCTGCAGAAATGTGGATTTCTTTGGAAATCCATATTTACGTGGGTATATTTCCTATACATGTAAACTGTCGCATAACAACCACCTCATAAAGCGACAACTTAAGGCTAAAAAGAAATTGTAGAAGGTTACACTGAACTTTAAAAAAAAAAAGTTGTCACTATTTGTAAATTTTAACTTGCAGACTAAGTTTAGAAAATATTTTTTAAATAAACCAACATTTTTTAAAAAATTGAATTTGGCCTTTTAAACTTCAATTGTAAAAAAAATTTGACTGTTAAAAAAAAAAAAAAAAAAAAAAAAGTCCTGTAATGAGGAAAATTAAAAATTGGATTGAATGTCAAAAAGCCCTGTAGAATGTCCGATTTTTACAAGCTGTCAACCTGCCACCCACACGTGACCGAAACAGCAATAAACTATAAGTGTTGATAATGTTAGCAGATTTAAAAGAAACTTTTGTGGACCACAGAGCAATCAAGTTTCATTATTAAAAACAAAACAAAACAGAAAACTTAAGATTTAACTACTTTAAAAGTTGTACGAATCCTTATCGGCCAATTTGAAAAAATTTTTTTTTAGCCATAAAAAAAAAAAAAAAAAAAAAAAAAATACGAGTTTTGAAGATGCTGAAAATAAAGGCAATTTTTAAACTAAAGTCTGAGAAAATATTTCGCTTTATTAACTGGAACAAAATCATTGGTGAATCTCAGCCAGTAGTTTATGTCAAGTATTTTTTTTTTTTAAGTTTTATTTTTTCTATTTTAATACACTTTAAAATAAGAAAAAAAAAAATAAATGAATACTTAAACTGAAGTACATACACTTGTACATTCTAAATTTTAAAAAGATAAATTTAGAACCAAACTTTTGATTTTGAAGGTTAAAAAAATCAAACTTTGGTTATTCCTATTAATTAATACCATGGCATAAAGCCTTTTGAAGTTTGGAATTTTTTCATCGTCTATGGTCATTTTTTAGCGAATCATTGGAGGTGTCCAAGTCAAAATAGGTAAAACTATATAGCAACAAAAAATTAAAAAAAATGTACACAAGAAAAAAGCTAGACTCCCAGAAATTGTTTCGTTTTTACGTCTTCATAGTTAAAAATAAATAAAATAAGATCAAGTAAGACAATATGGTGTGTGTGCGTGCGTGTGATATACATAATGCCTTAATAATCTCTCCAACGACGTTTGAAGATAGAATTTATAAAAGAAAAAGTGGGGGGCAGTCATGTTGCGATACATAATTCTGTCGTGTTTTTACGTATACGGCTTTACAGCTAAGCTGTGATATCCGTGGTGCGAGGAAAGAGAGAGAGAGAGAAAAGAAAAGAGCCTTACCCGAGACAAGTTTGGCTAGTAGCAGCAATTCAACAAGCCACCACTGCGCCCACCAAGGAACTGGCTCTGTCACCAACTTGCTCGGCGGAATATTCCAGACACTCTTACAAGATTTGGTGTAATAGTCAGCGATACCAACTTTTCATTGGTTGTTCGTAACCTAGCAACCGACGAGCACTATAGCCTACGTCAACAGTGTGCGCCAGTGTTGAAATAAGACACACGCATAAGCACCTACACGCGTATATTTAGACACATTTTACGCGCTGAGTAAAAACATATTCCAGTAACATATGAAGGGAATCTTTTTGGCCAGTTTGGTAAACGGAATTTTTTTTTTGTGGGGAGTTGGGGGGGGTCATTTGACTTGTTAACGGTAAAATCAAAGGCCACGAAGGGTATGTGTGTTCTAAGGTTATCCACTTTTCTACAAACTTTAAGGGTCTTAGTTTTAATTTTCTCGTCGCAATAAACGCTGGATCAAAGCTATACTGGCGGTGCCGGTCTTACTAGATGTGTTAAGTTTTTTTTTTTTTTTCCTATAACTAGTTGCAAAGATCAGGGTTTTTTTATCATTTTAACAATATGACACTACAAAAAGAAAAAAATACGAAAAAAAAAAAAACAAACAAAAAAAACAAACCACATGAAGACAAACTGCCAGATGTAAATAATTACGAGAACTATATAAAACGCGGAACGGGAAGACGTAGAGAAAAAAAAATACTAGGTCAACAACATGATATGGTTGCTGGTGAAACGAAACCAGATGATACGTACTACATGTCGACATTTACTGAACACCTTTCCTGTATATAGTGTACAGACAGAATTGACAATATGGTCACTTCATTTAAGCTTTTTTAACGGATAAATTCAGGTTTTCGGTTATAATTTCTTAATAAGCGCGAATTTAAAGTAGAAAGATTCGTTTACGATCTAGTAACGAGAAAAAACATTTGGAACAATTTAACTTATCTCCGACAGACGAATTGACAAAAAAAAAAAAAAAAAAAAAGTCCAGAAGAAATTCCAATACTCGTCAATTTAATTAACAGTTGTAATTAAAGTTGTGTAAAATTCATATACAATATCGAGTAGAAGAGCAAGAACAAAGATGAAAGGTCAGAAACAATATGTTTAGTTTATTTATAATACAGAAGCGTGGAAGGGCAACAACTAGCTAAGACTTCAATTTCATTTACCGTTCAAAAAAGTAACGAGACGTAGTCCATTGACAATTGATATATTGGAAGTCTTCAAATTCTCACTATTTGACGGCCAATCGAATTTTACAAGCATTTCACAGAAAAAAAAAAAGACAGGTCAGTTTACCGCTGTACAGTAATTCCTTCAACTACAGTTTTAAGATTTTGCAAAGTATTTCGAAGTTAGAAGAGGATAAGACAAAAATAGACTTATCACAGACTCAGACATTTTTTTGAATTAATGAACGGTATTTTTTTTTTAGACTATTTGATTAACAAAACTATTAAAAAGTTAAAATCAAGTTCTAAACGTTTGGTTCTAAACTTTTAATACTTTTTTATGGTAGTGAGAAGGTGCTGTAACTTTAGTCAAGAAGTACAAATGTGCTTGTGGAAATGGTCGTTAATTATGTCCGATGCAACAGTTGTGCGTGTGTGTTTTACACAATGTAGTTACACAAACAAGAGTTAACTAAAATTAACAGTCAAATAAAACCATTTGATGTTTATCACGTTTAAATTTAGAGTTTAACTCACCTAGGCGAAGGAGCTCACAGAAACACTAAGTACGCTTTTGTAATCAACGCGATGCACATGTTTTTCAGGTGTCAAGTTAATTACACCTACTAAAAGACAATACAAAAAGATGACTTGAAGTATTGTCAATGTCAGATTTTAAGTGATTTGCTATTGCAATGATAATATTTTAGGAAACCGACATCGCTTAGATGCGCAGATAAAACTTTTTTTTTTTAATCCTCGAAAGTGTAACGAGATTTTGGTTTGGCAGGAGATAAAAAATATTGGAGAAAAAATATGTCACACATGAAAGTACTAAATAGTGAATTCGATCCTCACTGGGATCCCCATGACCCTTGTGCCATATCTAAGCTACGCTTAAAAAAAAAAAAAAAAAAAAAAGGAGAGAGTACGGCCGATTTGAGGACAGCTGTTGTAGAAGGCGTTAAGAATAGTTTTAACTTGTGAATTTTAAATAAGAAACCGTTTAAGATAGAGAGAGAGATGTTTAAAAAATCGTAGAGATCAGCATATGTGTGTTTTAAACGTTTTCGTACGGTGTGCGTGTTTTTTTTTGTTTTGTTTTTTTGTCTTTAAGGTGGGTGAAAATAGTTTGGTTCAAGAAAATACATATGAATAGAATTAGATAAAACGGCGCGTGTATATATCACACACACAGGTAAGAAAATGTTGAAGAGAAGAGACAAAAGTCCAACAGGTTAAAAAAAAATTAAAAGAAAAACAATCAAGTTAATAATGACAACAAACCAAAGCAATTGCCGAAAGAAAGAATGTTGAAGTCCACATATTTCCAGTGAGTGAGTGTGTTGAATTAAAAAGCGTACCGAAATATCGTTTTTAGAAAGACAAGCATATGTCGACATATAATAATTACCAGGTGATGGCTACAACGGCGGCAGCAGCAAAAGCAATCCTTCCCGACTTGACTATTGCTTCTCCACTACTACTGCTGCTGCTGGCCGGGGGAGGCGGTTACTACAAGAACCATGCCCTGGACACGTGACTCGCAAATAATCGGTACTGCGCACTTGCCTCCTACTCTCTCTCCCTCTCTCTCCATTTCACTCATACACACTTTCTCTTTTTTGTTCTCTTTCATTTATTTTTTTTTTTTTTTGTTCCTATCACGTTCGTTTATTTCTTCTCTCTTTCTCCCTCGCTCATTTTATTCGCTTTTGTTTTGAATGGCTTCCTCACTCATTCACTCTCACTTGTGTCATTAATAATTTCTTCCTTTCTCTATTTCCCTCTTGAAGAAGAAGAAGAAAGAGTGTGTATAAGAACGAAAGAAAGAAAACTTGCTTTTACGTTCACTGTCTCTTTTGTGTCAGTGATCAGACCCCCACCAAAAAAAAACCAACACATTTCGAATACTAACTAACATTTAGGCAACTCCCTCGCCACCACTCAAATTGGCGCAATATGATCTTACCTGTTATTTTGCCCCATGTGACATTATTGTAATAATGTAAAATAAACAGATGGCCTGCATGGTGGGTGAGGCAGTTGCATATTCAAACTTCCCATAGACAGCAGAGGTTGGCCTCGATCTAAAAACAACATCCAAAGATCGAAAACTGATTTTCAACGAAGCAATTTTCAGTGACGCAACACAGTCTTCCTGTTCTCTACTGACCATCGATGAGATATTATTTTTAAAGTAAATAAATCAAAATTGGAGAAAAATTAAAAGTTCTGGCACATGGTCACAATACAGCGTAGCTGCCAGTCAATACCGAGCTCACTCACGACACGAGGGAATAAACACAACGAGACATGAAAATAGAATTTGTACTTTATGACCCATAGAGGTGTTCATGTATTACATGTTTTTTGTTAAATGTTCTCTCGCTGTTCCTTTCGGAAATAAGATCGTTAATTGTGTTAATTTTCACTTTCTTTTTTTCTTTTTTTCTTTCTTTCTTTCTTTCTTTCTTTCTTTCTTTATTCTTTCTTTCTATGCTCTTTCTCTTTTTATGACAAGTATTTATCAACATGAAACGCTATGTTCAGCGTGCATCGTTGTGAACGTGTGTGTGGTACTTAATTTCAAAAAGGTCGTGAAAATCTAGATGGAGAGCACAAGTGTTATATATATATATATATATATATATATATATATATATATATATATAAAATGGCACAAGGCCGAAAGTATGGCGCAACTAATGGCGAATCACACTAACTACTTCAGTCGTAATGGTCAAACAAGTCAAGCTTGCTAACCATTTATTTACACAATATAGTTAGTTTATCTTCATTCAAGTATTTAAATTACAGTTATATTGTTTTTCTTCTAGGAGGAGATCGAAAGTATGTGGGTTAACAAAAATACGGCGCCTTCCTTGATGAATTTCAACTTAACATCGAGAGCATAATTAGAGAAATAGAAAGGCCCGTTATAAAAATAAATACATATATGTTTATATTATTCATATTATATATATATATAACGACTGAGTAGTGACTTCGATCCTCACTAAGTGCACCATACTTTCGGTCTTGCCCTACATCTAACCTATGCTTTGTAATTCGCTATATAAACGTTTACATACGTGGATAGACAGATATACTTATATATATATATATATATATATATATATATATATATATATATATATATATATACATACGTGTATATATGTGTGCATATATGTATATATATATATATATATATATATATGTACACATATGTATATATATATGTGCGTGTGTGTGTACGTTATTAGAGGTTTATGAACATACACACATGAACATTTTTTAATGTAGTTTATTACAAACCTATTAGACATAAAAGCACACACATAAATTTATTTATATTAATATATAATAATTTTAACATATATTCTTATATATGTGTGTGTGTGTGTGTGTGTGTGTGTGTGTGTGTGTGTGTGTGTGTGTGTGTGTGTGTTTGCCATCTACAGATTAATTAGTACAAAAGTGCTGAATTGAACAGTCTTTGGGCAAAATTTTACTGCCCTTAAATTACATTAAATTTTACATTTAATTTTTACGTATTTTGATAAGTTTTTATTTATTTATCCTTATTATGATTATATGTATGCATGAATGTATGTATATATGTATGTATAGGCGCGTATGGTTAGAACGTTAGCAATCTGACCATGAGACCTAGGTTCGAATCTCAGCATGGTCTATTTGTCAGGAAGGTGACTGTTATCGTCCTTGGATGTGGCAAGGGTTATCTCAGCGTTCGGCACATTTGGAATGTGTCTGAAAACTTTACCAGGAAGTGACCCAAACATTATGAGTGAAACGGGGGTACAGTGAAACGGGGTACAGTGAAATGGGTTCGAAAATTGTCAATCGTTGACGTAGCACGAAATCGTAAGTTATAAATGATCGAGGGTTTGTCTGTACTGGCTGCTGATCCTGCCTGATTATATGCTCTCCATAGTTGCTGTATGTTGATGTTGAACAAACACAGATGTGCCTGAACATGCGTCTGCGACAGGGATTGGCAAGCTGTCCGAGCAGACAATGTGCTCGGAAAGCGATAGAAAACTGGCAATTATGCATATATGTACGTATGTACTTAGGTATGTATAAAGAAGAGATCTACTGAAAATTTTCTCGAACCGCCACATTTA